GTAGAAAATGAGTGAGAGGGAGAGTATTGAGTTCTGTGTGTAGTGTGTATCCAACTCTATGCAGACTTGTATTTATTACTTAAGGGAAAACAGAATTAAACCAAATAAATTAGGGAAATGGGGGGGGCTATAAATGTAAAGGAATGATTGTAGTAATAAAATAAAGGGGAAAGTAATAAAGCAATATCAATCATATACTATATACTTTTCCATTCACATACTTATGTATACACTCAGATGTATATGTAAACACATTCATAAGACAAAATTAAATGAACAGATCAGTAAATGTTTATCAAGAGAGGGAAGAGGAGAAGAGGTGGGGGGTAATATTCTCAGTTAATTTGGTTTGATAGGTGTGATACTCAAAACAGAACCATGGACCATGAGGACTAGTGACAGTAACCATAATGAAGTAAAAAGCAGCTTGTTATGTTTCTAGGAGTTTGTGGGAATGTGTGTGGCTTCGGCCTCAGGTGTCTGGCTTAAGTTAAAATAGATTCGAAATCAGCATTTCTGCATTCTTGTTCACTTACTCTATACATATTTAACTCCATTCATAACGGAAACAATAGTGCATTATGTTTAAAAGTCAACAAGGATGATGCCAAGTGCATACTTGAGCTGTCCCCATGTACACTGATGTACTGTATATGAACCATAGATACTGCATCATAGGACAGTTCACTTTAGCGTAAAGACATTGTACTTACTCTGGGGAGGGCAGCGACTTGGTAGGCGGCTCTGGCAGGAAAGTTACTGCTGAAAACTGGAGAGAACACACACACACACACTGAATAACCACCACCAGGTTAATCTATGACCATCTATGAATGAATCATTTGATTTCTGGGTACCACCTTCGAATGATGCATACTTTTTAAAAAGAGTTTAGGAAGTGTCTTGTACGTAAGTAATAAACAACCCTTTAAGTGCAACATTTTGGTTGCTTGGTTTTAAAAAAGTCCACTGGGCTGGTTTATAACATGTGTGCTTTATTATTTAAAAGGGGTCGATTTCTAATAAGCTATTAAATCAACTTCAGTTATTAGTTAAGAGAAACTAATTAGCAGCCTAAGTGGATAGAATTAACATGACTGTAGACCACACTGGACACACGTCCTCTCCTTCCTGTCATCAGGTTCAGGAAAAGGCTCCTGCCTGTGGCTTAGTGTTGAGTGGAGTCTGGAGGTGAGAGGGAGCTCGGGCTTGTTCAGAAAACCTTGCCTAGCAGGATTGGGTTACATCTATATGCCTGCACACCAGTGTCCATTTACAATTCACTGGGCACTGCAGCTTCCATTACACCCGTCTGTTGTGATCCAGTAGGAAGTGCCCAGGCTGGGCAGCCTGTCAGAGGAAGCTCCATTCATATAGCACACACCAGAAGAAGAGCTGAGTGAGCCTGTCTGTCGTGTGACTCTGCTTAACCTTCCACCAGGCATTTTCTCAGAGATGACTGTGAAATATGAGGCACTGTCTCTCTTCATGACCACACAGGTACAGAGTTTAGGATTTTACAGCGTTTTCTTCAAATCCCTTAATATATACTGGAGATCATACACACACATATGGTAAACCAGGAAACCAAAGTATAGAGAGATGGATATATGCATTAGTTGATAGAATTTAAAAATTCAACTTAAAACCATTTAAGTCAGGCTTTCTATTCCATTTAAAATACATTAGATGTGGCCATCTGTGGCCCCTTGGAGGTTAAACTATCAGGCTCAATTAAATGAATCCACAACTAACGGTGACCCTGCAATAGGACCACAACAATAGTTAAAAGCTGCCCCCATGTGGCTGCTTCTATATAGTTAGGAGTTTATAATTGTGAGGGAAGAACGTGTTAGATGAAAGGTCAGTCTGGTTACCGTGACCCTGAGTAATAAGTCAAGACAATTCAACAGTGAGTCAGCAATTACACATACACATTACATCAGCTCCATTACAGGATCAAATCACTGGCAATTTTAGGCAATGTGCACAAAAAATTAAAAAAAACATAGCATGTTTACTTACATGTCTTATAGACCTCATTGACACTGTTAAAGTCATTTATATCTGCAAGCAGCACAGTCGTCTTCACCACTGAAATGAAAGCATTTATCTTGTCAGAGAGTTGGTTGTAAACATTCAGAGCACAAACATTTGCGAAACCACCGCAATGCTGGAAAGCGTGACAACAGTGAGATCTCACCGTTGCTGTAGTCACAGCCAGCAGCTTTAAGGATCTCCCCCATGTTGATGAGAGCCTGGGGATGATTGATATAGTGTCATACCCAGCCGATTAATATTTAAACTCACCTTTTAAATTTCTATTTTCTTTATTTAGTTTTAGTAGTTGTTGAAAAATACTCAATTTTTGAGAAGCACTAAACGTAAACTGCCTAACCCACAGTCCTCTCAGCCAATAGAACAGTAAATGTCCTGTCATCTGCTGTTCAAACATGGTAGACCATCATCACCTGTCCCTGTGAGTCTCACCTGTTTGGCCTGGGCCTGCACTCCTCCATCTACCAGCTGACCAGAGGCCACGTCCAGCCCCAGCTGACCGGAGATGTACATGGTTCTGTCCACAACCACTGCCTGACTGGGGATAATACAGAGGATGCAAATAATTACACTACAGTTAATTTAATGAGAGGGAAAGTGATGCTCAACAAAACACTTAGAAGAGGAAATAACATTTGTTGCAAACAACCTGCTAATCGGTTAAAATTAACCATCCAGAATAATCTATTTAACCCCTGTTTTGCATCCAGTAAAGAGAAGAAATTTCTACCACCAGACACTGAAATAGGCAAAATGCTGGAGCCGCCTACTTCAACTATGGCCAAACATGAACCTTGTTAACGTTAATTAGAATAAATTAAAGTGACCTTTTCCCAACTCCACTTGCTGACAGCTGATTGGTCAGAAGAGGAACACCCCTCAACTTGAGCCACTGTACAGGTCCAAGTAAAGCTTAAAATGTGGTTGTGATGCCATTTAACTTATCACTTAAAGCTGAAACAGGTTTTAGCCACATTATCACAAAACACCGTGTTTAAATTTCTTAAGCTTTCAGTTTTAGCGGTCGGGGTGCAGCATTTCACAGGACGTTCATCCTCACCTGTATATTCCCTGTCTGACAGGAGCTTTAGGAGTGTGAGGGGTCTGTCGACGAATAGTGGCCATTTCAAGTCGGAGGTCGGTTAAAAAGATTTCCGCTCAGCTTAAAGTTGAACTCTGTTCATGGTGTCAAGTCAAGCAGATGAGTTCACTGAACACTAAAACCCGCCCCTGATCAAATACTGGACTGTCCGTGCAATTCCCTCTCATTGAAACAGTTTATACATTATACTGCTCTTACAATATAAAGCTGTGTTACCTGTACGGGCCGATAGCAGCCGGGGCTGATGCAGTGTTGATGATCCTTCTGAGAAGTGCGTGCATGTTTTCCTTCTTTTATTCAAACCTCCAACCTTTCAGAGAAAAGAGGAAGTGGTTGTAGAATAACTTGTGGAGAAAGTGGGTCAGCTGATACTGCAAAAGCTACCGTAATGTTTGTTGACAAGAGCACGCTGCCTTTCTGGAGGAGCTTTCCTAAAAAAAAAAAAAAAAAGTGGCTTTCATAGTTGGAGAATTAAGGTACGACTGTCCATGATAGTTTCTCCTGACGTGCAAGCCACTGTACGCCAAAACAACCACACACACAGTTTATTCACCCGCGCCGTTACACTCATGGACGGTTAGTCTAGGTTTTTCTCTTTTAACTTGTGCTTTTTCAACTTTTATATATTCTGTATTGTGTTTTTATTGCTGTGCACATCGGAGGCCATAGGGCTGGAGTCAAATGTCTTGTATTTTTGATAATACTTGGCAATAAAGTTTAGGCAGAAGTAATGTACTGCAAGTCCCCTTTATAAAGAAGATGAAACGTTAACGTAATATGACAGCATTAAAATGACTGCAAAGCCAAGGTCCTGCATGTAAATAATGGGAGTGGTGGTGGATCAGTGGTGGAAACAGTGCTCAGATTATTACTTAGAGCAGCAAAACCACAGTGTTTGTTACAATTAAAAGTCCCGCATTCAAAACGTTACATAAGTTAAAGTGCTGGGATAAAAATTATACTTAAATGACTAAAAGTACTCATTATGCAGAATGGCACAATTCACATCAGTGCATATCATATTATTGTATTGTGATGAATTATTGTGTACATCACATTTTATGTTGGTAAAGTTGGATCTTGAATTACTGTAGGGTAGCTTTCCCACTGAGGATCCAGGTCTTGTGATTATTCTGTTTGGTTTTATTAATCTGACTATGAAAAGTAACTAATGTTATCAGACAAATGTAGCGCAGTAAAAAGTATAATATTTGGCTCTAAAATCAAGTGCAGTTAAATGTAGTGCATTTCAGTATAGTACTTGAGTAATTGTACATAGTTACTTGACCACCTCCGCATTTAGCCTGTATTATTGGAATTGATTGGTAACACTTGGATTAGTAACACTGTAAAAGATTTACTATGTAATTCAAGTTGAACTAGAGAAATGCATTTCCTGTCGAAAATGCGTGTGGATGCTGATATGCTGAAAGCTCGTCCTGAAAATGCCTGAAATCAATTGCTGAAACAGCTGAAGGATGAGAAGAAATGGCTGCAGTTGTGAGAGACACTGGTTGTGAATCATTGTGTGGATGCTGTAAAGCATCCACACAATGATTGCAAAGTTACACAGGAGCCCAAGTGTATAAGCCAGATACAAAGGTTGCCTTCTACCACACCCGTTTGCAATTTGTTTACACATTTGTCTGTATACAAACAGTATAACTCTACACCCTCAAGTCAATACGTATATAACAGAAATAATTGTAAAATAAATGAAGACAATCATATAGCTATATATGAGAGAGTGGCTAATTTTGAACAACGTCAAATTTCAAATAGGACTTTTTATTGTACAAAACAAATAGATTTTAGTTTTAAGGTGGCAATTCCAGGACAGGTAATTCATTTGTATATTACTAAATTACATGGCATCTGTCACTACATGTCTGACAGCCCTGTCATACAATTTAGCAAAACTCTGAAATGCTGAGTTGCAAACTGAGTAGTGCTCAAAATGTGGCTAGTGACCTCAAACATTATGGCAGGTATTTATTTCCATACCTGTCTTTGGACTGTGCGAGGAAGCCGGAGTACCCAGAGAGAACCCACGCAGGCATAATGCTAACCACCATGCTGCCCACTTTTAAATGTGCTATATAAATCAACTGAATTAAACTGAATATATTTATAGATTTCTCTAAATATTAAATAGCAAAACAAAATATAATTGTTGCCAATCAAATGAAATCTAGTCTAATCTATATAGTATGGAAGCGCATTGCCTTCACCAAAAAAAAAAAGGTGGATCTAAGCTTGAAGTTTGCAACTCAGCATTTGAGAGCACGCAGCCACATGGATAAATGATGGGGACATGTAATCTTGGGTGATTCAATCCAAGTCAGTGCAGACTGAAACTTCATCCATAAAACAAGTGTATAAATCCATGTAGTCTTGTGAGATTTTTTGAGCAGCCCAGTTTTCCTCAAAGAACATACCAGGGATTGCTGAGATGGTTTTTGTAGATTTTGATGGCTACAGTCTCACTATTAGTTAAGTCCAAACACTTTGCAACTTTGCCAAAACATCCTTCTCCTATGAAATCCTCTATAACATATTCTCCAGACTCACAGAAGATTGGGTCACCCTTTCCTAACATTGATAAAGACAATTTTGCAGTTCAGTGCTTCCAGATATACTAGCAAGTTGATTTAAATCTACCTAACCAATTGGTGTTGAACTGTTAACTACTTGCACTACTATCCTAATGTAAGTGAGGATGACATCATATGTCGTGGTGTCATACATCGACGACTTTTTAAAATAAACTGTCCTTATTAGGACAACCTCAACCTCAATATGTTTACATTCCACTCTACACCCTCAAGTCAATATATAACTGAAATAATTGTGAAATAAATGAAGACAATTATATAGCTATACAGTCAGGGAAAACATTATTTGAACCCCAGCTGATTTTGTAAGTTTGCCCACTAACAAAGAAATGATCAGTTTACAATTTCAATGGTAGGTTTATGTGAACAGTGAGAGACACAACTATAACAAAAAAATCTAGAAAAATGCATTTAAAAAAAGTTATACATTAATTTGCATTTTCATGAATGAAATAAGTATTTGATCCCCCATCAGTCAGCAAGATCTCTGGCTCCCAGGGGTGCTTTATACAGGTAACGAGCTGACACTGGGAGCCCTCTCAGCTTGTTACCTGTATAAAAGAGACCTGTCCACAGAAGCAATCAATCAATCCAGATTCCAAACTCTTCACCATGGCCAAGACCAAAGAGCTTTCCAAGGATGTCAGGGACAAGATTGTGGACCTACACAAGGCTGGAATGGGCTACAAGACCATCGCCAAGCAGCTGGGTGAGAAGGTGACAACAGTTGGTGCGATTATTC